CACACACACACACACACACACACACACAAAAGTAAAAAAAAATAGATTTAATGATGTGGCATATACTAAGAATGTTTCAGAACCCTAAAATATCAGGTAATACACCAATAGATGTGTTCAGACTACACATCTTAGATGGAGTTATATTTAGTAAACTCCTATGAATACGGCCATAAAATAAACAGAGGTTCTACAGTGAAAAGCCTAACAGAAATTAAAATTAAGCTCCAGTCAATTCATTGGATGCTTATACCATTTAGGGAGAGAGACGAAATTTTAAAAATGCAGGACTTGGAATTGTTCACATTACTTACCCAATGGTTGGGTCCACAGCAATTCCTCTAGGGTGCCCCAAGTTTTCAGCTATCAGGGTCACCCGGTGGCTTCCATCCAAGTTCACCACATCTATGCGGTTGACCTTGGTCTCTACGATGTAAAGTTTATTGTTAACCCAGTCCACAGCTATATTCTCTGGCGCCTCAACAGAAACACTGAGAATTTCTTGGATCGTTAAACTGTTAATGTCAATTGAAAAAACCTGAAAGAAAAATCAAAATTATTGTTCTCCAGCATGAATTTTTATTCTTAAGCATTTCTTTAAAAATTCAAAATTATTACTCTTAACCTTTTTTGTTACTCTATTTTATAGAAATTAGTCATTTGGACCTTAGGAACAAATTCACTGGAGGCTTACTATTTATTTAGATCACAAGGTTCCTGGAAGAAAACATTCTTTTTTCAAAGCGTAAGTGAAGAAATACAAAATTTACTTTTGGTTTTCCTTTCCTTAGCCAGCATTTCCAATTCTTGGTGGTTATCAAAAGTTTAGTTAAAGACTTGAATTTTTTGAGGGGAGAAAGGTTTATTTTGATAATTAATGATTCTTAGTTGTAATTAAATCAACATTGCTAGTAATCCAAATTCTCAATCTTTAGAAATTTTATGCATGTTATCATGTAAGTGAATTAGAATTTTAATAATGGTATAAAGAATGTAAGAGGAATAAATACATAAAATTGTCTAACTCTTTAGGAACCTCTACAATTTATGTTTTAAAAATCTCCATTGCATTACTCAAAGTTGACGTTAAAACCATCACACTTTTCACATAAAATAGCATAATACACTTTTGGCTGCTAAACAAAATACTGTCAATATTTCTTACCCAATCCTCAATTACAGTTCCACTTAGAAGATGCAGGTAGAAATCTGATTTTTATCATCCAAGAAAGCAGAGTGCATTTTACATATAAATGATCAAGTTTCAAAAATTACTACCAAATATCTATCCAGATTTGAAAGAATGTCTACTATTTCTTTTAATTAGGCTTTTGGACTCCTTTTCGAATAAAATTAAAAGTTGCTCAAGGCTACTCCATATAATAGGCTGCTTTGTTTAACAGGCCACATGTAATAGTATAGCATGGAAAGGTACTGATTAACATAAACTATCTCAAGGGCCTTTTTTGTTACAAAACAAAGGAACTTTCCCTTCTATTCCCCTAAAAATGAACACCTATCAACACTCTGGGCCTGAGGTTCTACTCAGCTACCAAGCCATACTCTTGAAATCTCTGTTTACCTTATCTTCCACGGGGTCTGTCCAAAAGACTTTGTGCTCCCGGTAGTGAAAATCCAAACCCAAGGCTACACCACGATTTTGAGAATGTACTAGAATCTGGAAGCTCCTTCCTTCAATATCACCAATTACCAAATCCCGGCCATTGGAGAAGATAACAGAGGCCTCGGGAACTAAACATGAAATAGGAAAGCATTACCACTCCTTCAGGTGCGCAAGGCATTGCAAGTGATGCATGTTCTGCTTTTTCAAATCTTATTGAGTCTAAAGTAAACCTGAGAAAACTAGCTGACAGTCATTCTACCCATTTTACAGATAAGCAAACTATGGCACAAGATGCTTAACAAAGCATTCAAAACCATAGTAATTTAGGAACAGAGAATGGCAAGAATTCAAGTGTCTAGACTGTTAGTCCACTGCCCTTTCATTAATAATAAAAAGAATACTGGAGGCACTTCCAAAAATACTTGGTGATATAGGCATCTTACCTCTGTGTGCAACTTTAGATTATGTTAAACACAAAATATGTTTTTAAAATTCCTGTAAAAAAAAAATAGCAATGGTAGACCAAAGCCAGCTCTGTCTATTGCACTCCTAAATATGCAAAAAGACGCAGGAATGTTATTTATTGTGGTCTTGCTTGCAAAAGTTAAAGATAAAAATTATTTGAAAGTTCATCAGTAGAGAACTAAGTAAATTATATGCATATAAAAATGGAGTATCATGCCACTATTAAAAAAAAAAA